CTCTTAGGATGAGAAAATTTCAAAAAGACAGTTGTAGTTTTAAAACTTCCAATAGGCATTGGCAGCATTGATCCAGTAAAATTAGGAGATTGCATGTAGGAACGGAAGTCTTAGGTGGAACTATATCCAGATATGTCAAAACTTCTGGAAATAGTCACCAGAGAAGGTACTAGAAGCTGATAACTTCTCTTTCTTTAAGGCGCTCCTTCAAACCTCCCTCTTTGATCAGGATTTTGGTCATGTATCCCAATATCTCCTTATTTGGCTCAATTGGCTAGTTTTGTCAGTGTGTCAAAAACGCTGGAAGCAGGTCAGATAGTCCCAAGTGAAAGTTGAATTAAGTAGACAATGACAAGATATAGATTCACATGGCATTGAGGACAAAGTAGAGGTGACTCAGAATATTTAGATGGAATATAGCTTATGTCAGGTACATTGAGGTCAGCTGGTTAAACGACAACTAAGCAGAACACAGGTGTATGTGTGAGGAAGTGAGTGCCAGCTATGTGCCATGAGCAATGTTGCTTTGTGGTTGCAGTACCATTATGTTGCCAGTGAAAGTCAATGCCAGATTACCAACAGATTGTTTGGGTGCAGAACAACATCTTTAAATGTGGTGAGAATGCCCAGGGTGCCAGTCTTGTAGCTGATAACCAGTGAATGGTGCATTGTTCTGGGAACGTTGGGGGTAGGTGATGGCCTGGTGGTATTATTGCTAGACTATTAATCCAGAAACCTAGCTGACATTCTAGGGACCAGGGTTCGAATCCCATCATGGCAGATGGTGGAATTGGAATTCAAAAAATAAAATCTGCAATTAAGAATCTACTGATCACCACGAGATCATTGCCAATTGTCAGAAAAACCAATCTGCTTCACTAATGTCCTTTAGAGAAGGAAACTGCCATCCATACCTGGTCTGGCCTACATGTGACTCCAGACTCACCACAATGTGGTTGACTCTCAACTGCCCTCTGAAATAGCCTAGCAAGCCACTCAGATGTACCAATTGCTACAAAGACTCAAAGAAGTGAAACTGGAGGGAAAAGACAATGGCAGAAACAGCCCTGTCAACCCTGCAAAATCCTCCTCCCGAACATCTGGGGGTTAGTGCCAAAAATGGGAGAGCTGTCTCACAGACTGGTTAAGCAACAGCCTGATATAGTCCTACTCTCAGAATCATACCTTACAGACCATGTCCCAGACACTACCGTCACCATCCCTGGATATGTCCTGTCCCACTGGCAGGACAGACCGAGCAAAGGGGGCAGCACAGTGGTATACAGTCGGGAAGGTGTTGCTGTAGGAGTCATCAACATAGACTCTGGACCCCGCGAAGTCTCATGGCTTCAAGTTAAACATGGGCAAGGAAACCACCTGCTGATTACCACAAACTGTCCTCTCTCAGCTGATGAATCAGTACTCCTCAATGTTGAGGAGCTCTTGGAGGAAGCACTGAGGATGGCAAGGGCACAAAATTACTCTGGGTGGGGGATTTCAATATCCACCATCAAGAATGGCTCAGCAGCAGTACTGTTGATCGAGCTGGTCGGGTCCTACGGGACATAACTGCTAGACTGGGTCTGCGGCAGGTGGTGAGGGAACCAACAAGAGGGGAATAAGATACCTGACCTCAACCTTACCAATCTGCCAGCTGCAGTTGCATCTGTCCATGACGGTATCGGTAAGAGTGATCATCGCACAGTCCTTGTGAGATGAAGTCCCGCCTTCACATTGAGAACAGCGTCTATTGTGTTGTGTGGCACTATCACTGTGCTAAATGGGCCAGACTTCACACAAATCTAGCAACTCAAGACTGGGCATCCATGAGGCGCTGTGGGCCATCAACAGCAGCAAAATTGTACTCCACAATCTGTAACCTCATGGCCCTGCATATCCCCCACTCAACCATCACTATCAAGCCAAGGGATCAACCCTGGTTCAATGAAGAGTGCAGGAGGGCATATCTGAACATGTGGTATCAACTTGGTGAAGCCAGCAAACAGGACTATTCGCTGTTTGGCATGCAAGAGCAGCAAGTGAGAGACAGAGCTAAGCTCTGCAGTCCTGCCACGTCCAGTTGTGAATGGTGGTGGACAATTAAACAACTCACTGGAGGAGGCGGCTCCACAAATATCCCCATCCTCAATGATGGAAGAGCCCAGCACATCAGTGCAAAAGATAAGGCTGAAGCTTTCGCAGCAATCTTCAGCCAGAAGTGCCGAGTGGATGATCCATCTCGGCCTCCTCCAGTGGTCCACAGCATTACAGATACCCGTCTTCAGCCAATTCGATTCACTCCACATATCAAGAAACGGTTGGAGACACTGGATACTGCAAAGGCTACAGGCCCTGACAACATTCTGGCAATAGTACTGAAGATTTGTGCTCCAGAACTTGCTGCTCCCCTAGCCAAGCTGTTCCAGGACAGTTACAACACTGGTATCTACCCGACAATGTAGAAAATTGCCCAAGTATGTCCTGTACACAAAAAGCAGGACAAATCCAACCCGGCCAGTTACCACCCCATCAGTCTCCTCTTGATCATCAGTAAAGTGATGGAAGGTGCCATCAACAGTGCTATCACACAGCACCTGCTCAGCAATAACCTGCTCAGTGACAGCCAGTTTGGGTTCCACCAGGGCCACTCAGCTCCTGACCTCATTACAGCCTTGGTTCAAACATGGACAAAAGAGCTGAATTCCAGAGTTGAGGGGAGAGTGACAGCCCTTGATATCAAGGCTGCATTTGACCGAGTGTGGCATCAAGAAGCTCTGGCAAAACTGGAATCAATGGGTATCGGGGGCAAACGCTCTGGTGATTGGAGTCATACCTGACACATAGGAAGATGGTCGTGGTTGTGGGAGGTCAATCATCTCAGCTCCAGGACATCTCTGCAGGAATTCTTCAGGGGAGTGTCCTCGGCCCAACCATCTTCAGCTGCTTCATCAATGACCTTCCCTCCATCATAAGGTCAGAAGTGCGGATGTTCACTGATGATTGATTGTGCAATGTTCAGCACCATTCGTGACTCCTCAGATACTGAAGCAGTCCACGTTCACATGCAACAAGATCTGGACAATATCCAAACTTGGGCTGACAAGTGGCAAGTGACATCTGTGCCACACAAATGCTAGGCTATGACCATCACCAATAAGAGACAATCTAACCACCATTCCTTGACATTCAATGGTGTTACCATCACCGAATCCCTCACCACCAACATTCTGGGGGTTACCATTGACCAGAACCTCAACTGGACTCACCACGTTAACGTAGTGGCTACAAGAGCCGGCCAGAAGCTGGGAATACTGCGCCAAGTAACTTACCTCCTGACTCCTCAAAGCCTATCCACCATCTACAAGGCACAAGTCAGGAGTGTGATGGAGTTTTCCCCACTTCCCTGGATGGGTGCAGCCGCAACAACACTCAAGGAGCTTGACACCATCCAGGACAAAGCAGCCCCCACTTGATTGGCACCACATCTACAAGCATCCACTCCCTCCACCACTGATGCTCAGCAGCAGCAGTGTGTGTTATCTACAAGATGCACTGCAGAAACTCACCAAAGATCCTCAGACAGCACCTTCCAAACCCACGACCACTTCCATCAAGGACAAGGGCAGCAGACATATGGAAACACAACCACCTCCAAGTCACTCACCATCCTGACTTGGAAATATATCGCCGTTCCTTCACTGTCGTTGGGTCAGAATCCTAGAATTCCCTCCCTAATGGCATTGTGGGTCAACCCACAGCAGGAGAACTGCAGCGGTTCAAGAAGGCAGCTCACCACCACCTTCTCAAGGGCAACAAGGGATGGGCAAGAAATGGAGGCCAGCCAGTGAGGCCCACATCCCAGAAATACATAATGAATGGCAAGTACTAGGATGGGGCTGGAATCAGCTGAGAGGGGCACCACAAGGTATTTAATGAGGCCAGTTTGGCAAGATAAATCGGAGATCTTGCTAGGTTTTGTAGAGAGAAACTTGTCATGAATCTCAACAAAATTGATATTCAGCCAAAAAAATTTGAAGTTCCAATGTGATGGCTATGCTCTGTCCAAAATTTAACCTTGGGCTGAATTACCTGGATCCCTAAATGTAAATAACACAAGTTATTGATCTTAGAATCAATAACTGCTTATTATAATCTTTTGACATCCGATAAAGAAAGGGCAATGTTTCATTTCTGGTAAGGATGGAGGTGTTACGAGTGTGTTATGCAAAGAATTAATTTTATAACATAACTGAACACATCTCGAACTTTGCAAAGCATAAGTCTCTGGCTACTGCAGTAGCCAATGTTGCATTTTAGAAGGAGTAAGCTGCTTGGGTGGAAATAGCAAGTCAGCAACACATTCTGAGAGGGGGTACATGACCCAGTTTGTAGGTACAATAAACTATTAGACTTGAACACAGATCAAGAGATCCTAAGATAATTTGCCTCAGGAGCAGACACCTTCGCTCTTGCTCTTTTTCTTGGAAACCTTTCTAAGTTTGAGAGTTGAAAATCCAATGGAAAACCTCATTCTCCCAAGTGAAAGTTCCTAAAAGAGAATCCAGATTCTATTACCACTGTCTCCAGAAAAAGTGAATTCAACCAGTCATAACTGATCTAGGAAGAAATTCTTATGCCAAACCTGGTGTGGAAAAAGTGACTTTAAACATTTCTGATAACGTGCTAATTTGTTCTTCTGTATTTAACTGATATGTAACTGAAGTTCTGTAAATTTTTAACCCCAGACTGGGAGGTTGAGATGCTATGAATACTTGCATACATTTGCAGTTTAAACAATGTTTTGTTTTGCAGTAAAGTATTTGCTTAATTCTTAAATAAGTAAGCTGATTTGTTTCGGAAGTTGAGCTATATACACACTGATACAAATGTGACAAGATTACCTCTTAAAATTTTAAATTCCAAACTTATGACCAGTGGGAGAGTGGGACAAGAATCAGTTTATCCTGTTAGCTTGATTGTAATAAACAAAGATAAGACAATTTTTGGTGTCTTTATATATGTAGGTATTTAATTTTTCATAGAGCAAGTAAGCTACTATACAGAGTGCCATTTATTTTACATTCTTCAATAAGCAGATTCCAGACTTTGAAATGCTCCAAAGATTTGGATGCTTTATAGAATTTCAAAAATATAAGAAAGCAATGGAATTTGTCAGAATATAATTTTAAAAGGACACTATATCAAATAATTAGGGCTTAATTGGATAATAAGGTTATTGGAAAATATCCAGTACACGATACAAATGATAGATTTCTAAAATGGGAACTGAATTTCCACATCAAAAAATACTGTTTATTTGTGGATTTTACATTGATTTGCTACACAATTAAAAGCAACTTTGTTAAGCATTTTCCACAGGACAATGGGTCGTTGCACGTGTTTATGGTGCTAACCAGATGAATTAACTCAAAGTAATGTATAGCTGCATAAATTATATAGACAGGAATTCCCCCCCTCAAACAGAAAAATTACCAAAAGCACACAGCTTGGATAATCACTACTTAAACAGTTAATAAAAAAAAAAGTTCAATTCTTAAAACTAAAGTTTAATTATTAGTTTAATCTTTCCAGTAATTCTTTAGTGTTGACGTGTTGTTCCCTTTCAGAGATGCATTGCTGTAGCCCAATCCCCATCTCCTCAAATCTTCCAACTACTTCAATTCCATTTATCAACATACATTATTCAGAATCAAACTACCATTCACATTACTAATTGGGATTCTGATCACAGACCCCAATGCTAGTGGTTTAATTTATCTATTCTTTTTGATAGCTCATGTAGTGGCTTTCTCTCATTGCAACTTGTGAATCAAACATTTCTTTAAATTTACTCATTTTTTGTTGGCAGTTACCATGAAAAGATAACTATTTGTAAAAATATTAGCAACAGAAGTCCTTGTCTTTCTTCTGTAAAAACATAGGGGTGCAAATATGGAGAAACTATTTAAAGATCACAGTACTTAAATCTTTTATAGTTTTGACGCTTACAAAAATACCTTCCTTAAGTTGTTCTGAAACATCTAATCAAACTAAAAATGCCTTTTCCTCCCTATCATCATCTTGTTAGCAGAAGCATAATGTCCACACCAAAGGAGGAGAAAGTGAACAGTACAACAGCAAATTTGTAAATCGCAACTTAAATTGCTGTTTGAGTGCACCCACCATTGATCATTTGTCTTTCAACAAGATAAAAGCCTTATCTGCACATTCCATAGTACATTAGAAATAATTTTATGGCAAACGCATTACAAGAGAACATATAAAATATAGTTTAAAGGAAATTCTCTTGATAGCTGCTGTTTGTTAAAAAAAAGATATTTTCAAAATATTGATTCAAAAATCAGTGTAAGTAACTAATATCCTACAGACTAAATTCGCTGAAAATCAGACAAAAATAGCCATCTATTTTCATACCAGTCTTAAACTGGGGAAACCAACTTTATGGGGCACAGATTTCTTCAGAGGTCTAAGTGTTAACTAACTCATAGGCTAATCAGTGGGAAAGCCAAGAAAGCAGGTTACACCTACTGGCTAACAAAATCAAGTACCATAAGGTATAGCCAAGATATGGTGCCATTCTTACAAAACAGGCTTTTTATTTCATATCATCAGATTTCTCGGGGGCTTCAAATAGGAGACAGCAAGGGGATTTAAAAATATATCAGTTAAAATAGTTGGGTCACTTGGAACATGCAGCCATTGGTTTTGGTGTTATGTTCTAGCTTAATTTTAGATCGTGCATCTAAAATGTTATTTTCATGCCTTTTTTTCCCTTTTAATATCTCTACAAATTGAGCCACATTTCCACTCCCCCAAAAAAGTCAACTGCTGTAATACCACTTTGTTATAATCTCAATCCTTTCTCCGAAACTTATTCTTGTTGCACACCTTGCCATTTCCTTTTTGGTAGCATCATTTCTCCTTCATTTAGTTACCTCACGGATTCACTTAGGATTTAAATTGCTAGTAAGTTATGTATCACCAAAAAGTGCAGTAAAGCATTTAAAAAAAAACACTCTTGACATGACTCCAGTTTTGTTTCATCTAGTCCACTAATATAAAAACTATGATATGCCTGATACAACTTGAATATACTAGAGTCAGGCATTCTTTATTCTGTCATTAGACCCTTGTGTTGCATGCTAGTAACAGTTATTTCATAGTATTAAAAATTTAAGATAGAAAGTTGTCAGCAATGGATTAAATCATCTGTGTTTAATGTATAAAATTCCACATTTTGGCGGACATAATGAGATGAGTTTTTTTAAAAAAGATCAAAATGAATTCCACAGTATAACTGTTCCAAGTCTAGAATTCACTAGAACGTGATTTACTTTTGGCAAAAAGTTAATTACTAAACAAACTTGCAATAAAATGTTTTGATGTCAGATTAATAACCCCTATATAGATTTGGCCTTGTATTCTAGGTCAGTGCACAGTTAACTGACATTTAGCTGAGGAACATGTCAATATCAAGCATACAAAATTGACATATCCGACCAGCATTTTCATTTGTGCAGCATCCCTGCATACAAATTAGGCTTCCACCTTTTCCTTCTTTTTGTTCTTTTTCAGAAATGATGGTGTACGGAATTTCTTTTTCTTCTTGGAGGGTGATTTAGAAGGAGACCCTTCAGGTGAAAGGGTGTCACTGACATTCAAATCTATCTTTTCTGTTGTGTTGATGGTAATTTCCACACTTTCCACAGTGCTGGTTGTTAATTGGCTGATACGTTTGGTCACATCTTCTGTTAAAGCTTGTCCATCTTCCTTTCCTCCATTCACCACCACTGCTGGCACATTGTTTTCTGAAGCAGAATGATCAATAAGGAAGAATTTAATCATCCATTATGAAAGTCTTAAATATTTTTGTTTTGTTCGTTTATTCATGGAATGTGGGTGTCACTGGCAAAGCTGGCAAATATCACCCTTGAAATCAACCTTGCCAACTGAATAATTACCCTCTGAAATGACCCAGCAAGTCAAAAGGCAATCACGTAATCATAAAATAGTTATAGGACAGAACGCCCAATAAGCCTGTGCAGGCTGAAGAACAATTTAGCTAATCTCACACCCTGGCCCTTTCCCTGCATCCTTTTTTTTAAAAAAGGTGTTATCTAATTCCCTTTTGAAAGTCATGTTTGAATCTGATCTCACCACTTCAGATTGTTCTTCCTCTTGTAGTAATACCACTTATTCTATGGACCAAAAATGTAGTCATCACTGGATTACTTCCAGTGCCAAGTGCAGTGAGTCCAGAAATAACAGGATCAGGTAAATGAATGTGTGGCTGCAGGAGGGAGGACTTTAGATTCCTGAGGCAGACTCTGAAGAGGATGCTACCTGTACAAGCTGGACAGGTTACACCTGAACTGAGATGGAACGGAGGTCCTTGCAGGGCATTTTGCTAGTGCCCAGTGGGAAGACTTTAAAGTAACTTGACACCACATGGGAAACAAGATTATTAGAAGAGAACAGATGGCAAGCATGAAAGTAGAAAGATAGTTTCTCCCCTACTCTGACTTCCAAGACAAGTCCAAGACAGAGTTAATATGCATGTGCTTAAATGCACAAAGTATAGTAAATAAGCTTGGTGAGTTACACAGATCAATGTGAATTTTGTTGTTGTAGTGGTGACAGACCTGGCTCAAGGAAGGACAAGACTGGCTGTTAAATATTTCTGAGTAAGTTGTTCAGGAAAGATAGGAAGACGAAGGCAAGGGGGAAAGGCAGCAGTGTTGGTTAAGGAGTACAGTGCTTCAGAAAGATGATGTCTCAGAGGGTTCAAGGGCAGAGTCAATTTGGATACAGCTATGGAATAGAAAGGGAACAATTACATTGCTCTGTTTTAGTCTAAAAACTACCAATGAGTGGAAAAGATGTAGAGGAACAAATCTGCAGGCAAGTTACAGAGAAATGCCAGTATTATAGAGCAGTTATAACAGGGGGCTTTAATGACCCAAATATTGACTGGGATACTGCTACTTTAAGGGGCAGCCAGGGGCAAGTGTTCCTGGATTGTTTGCTACAGCAGTATGCATCCAGTCCAACAAAGAAGGATGCATTGTTAGGCCTGGTCCTTGGAAATGACTTGGGCCAAGTGGATCAAGTGTCAGTGGGGGAACATTCAGAAGACAATGATCATTGTATCATAACGTTCAGGTTTGGTGTTGGAGAATCTGAATCTCTGGATCGTTCATCATTCTTAATGCCTCTATGAAATTCCCCCCACAATCTTTTCAGCTCCAGTACAGCCAAACATGTTTTACGTGTAATTAGTGAATCTGATGTGAAACTTTCCTGACATCTCTAAAGCCTTCATGTTCTAAAATGCGGTACCCAGACACTGCCATGGTACTCGTGCTGAAGTCGAAACCAGTGTTTTATAAAAGTTCATCATTTGTAATCTATGCCTCTTTTCAGGTCACTTATGACCTTCAACAATTTGTGCACATGTCCCTAGATTTCTTTGATCAAGAACCTGCCGGAGTGTTGGATCCTTCAGTTTATATTGATTTTCATTTTTTTCTATCAGTGTTCCTCTTGTATTAATGTGCATCTACCACATGGCTGCCCATTCTACCAACCTATGTGTAATTTGATCTAGGTCTGGAAGCCAGACCATGTAAGAATGAAGGTTTCCTTTTCAAGGGCATATTATGAATCAGTTTGTTTTCCTAAACAATCTGGTAGTTAAGCGATTACTGTTACTGATACTAATTTCTTTCCCCCATTCAAGATTTATGCCACGGAGATGTGAATTCATGTCGACAGATTATTTCTGGATACTAGATTATCAAGTCAATAACATAACCACTATGTTACCATAACCTTCCAAATCACCTGTACAAAATTAAAGTGGTCTTAGAATGCTATTCATGATATACCAGAGTAAACAAAATTGTGTCACTGCATGAGGAAGGGGAGAATACACAGTTGATGTGTGGTTATTTTCTGAGGAATGCGCTGAGAAGGCATACTAATGAAAAAAAAACCAGAATATTAACTGTCTTAGTCAGGTGTGTTGTTGGACTTTAAGTGAATTGGAGTATTTCCAATAAATAAGTTGTGATAAACAAAAGAATGCGAGACAGACAATTTATTTCCAAGATGGAATTAAGGATGGATGCAAATAATAGGGTTGTAGATACAGAAAACATGTCTAAGAACAAGAAGAGACAGGGAACACCGCTGAAAAGAGCAGGGGAGGTGGTCTGACATGCATGTGTTTCAATGCGAGAATTATAACAGGCAAGGTAGATGAACTTAGAGCTTTGGACAGTACTTGGAACTATGACATTATTGCGATTACAGAGACTTGGCTGAAAGAGGAGCAGCTGAATGTCTCAGGATTTAGATGTTTCAGATGTGATAGAAAGGGAAGTAAAAGGGATGGGAGAGTTGCATTAACAGTAAAGGAGTATCTCACAGCTATACGGAGGGAGGCCACAGAGGACTCGTGCAGTGACGCAATATGGGTAGAACTCAGGAATCAGAAAAGTGAAATCACAATGATGGGGGTGTACTACAGGCCTCCCAACAGCCAGCGGGAGATAAAGGAGAGAATATGTAGACAGATTATAGAAAGATGTAAAAACAGCAGGGTTGCTGTGGTGGATGATTTTAACTTCCCCTATATTGACTGGGACTCACTTTGTGCTTAGATAGGGCAGAATTTGTTAGGACCATTCAGGAGGGTTTCTTGACACAGTATGTAAACAGTCCAACCAGGGAAGGCGTTATACTGGACGTGGTTTTGAGAAATTAGCCCAGCCAGGTGAGTGAAGTTTCAGTGGGAGAGCATTTTGGGAGCAGTGACCATAATACCATGAGTTTTAAGATACTCATGGATAGGGGTAACAGTAGTCCTCGGGTGAAGATGATGTTAAATTGGGAGAAGGTGCGCTACAACAATATTAAGCAGGAACTGGAGAATTTTGGAGGCAGCTGTTTGAGGGTAAATCCACGTTGGACATGTGGGTGTATTTCAAACAGCAGTTGATCAGAATTCAGGGGTGGCACGTTCCTGCAAGAATGAAGGGTAGGTATGGCAAGTTACGTGAACCTTGGAATGACCAGGGATGTTATGACCCCTTGGTCAGAAAGAAAAAGGAAGCATACATAAGGTCTAGGAGAATGGGAACTGATGAAGCCCTTGTAGAATATAAGGAAAGCAAGAAAGAAGTTAAACAAGGAATTAGAAGGGCGCAAAGGGGTCATGAAAAGTCATTCGCAAACAGAATTAAGGAGAATCCCAAGGCTTTTTATACATATATAAAAAGCAAGAGGGTCGCCAGGGAAAGGGTTGGCCCATTCCAGGACAAAGGAGGGAATCTATGTATGGAGCCAGAAGAGGTAGGTGAGGTCCTAAATGAAAATTTTGTGTTGGTATTCACTGAAGAGAAGTAATTAGTGGAGGATGATCTCAGGGAAGGAAGTGTCGAGTTTCTAAGCCAAGTTGCTATTAAAAAGGAAGAAGAGGTGTTGTGCATCTTAAAAAGTATTAAGGTAGATAAGTCCCTGGGTCCTGATGGGATCTATCCCAGAATACTGGGGGAGGCAAGAGAACAAATTGCTGGAGCATTGACAGACATCTTTGTATCCTCTCTGGCCACAGGTGAGGTCCCAGAGGACTGGAGAATAGCCGATGTTGTCCCATTGTTAAAGAAGGGTAGCAGGGATTATCCTAATATCTACGGACCTGTGAGTCTCACGTTGGTGGTGGCGATATTGCTGGAAAAGATACTCAGGGACAAGATGTATACTCATTTAGAAGCAAGTGGGTTCATTAGTGATATACAGCATGGTTTTGTGGGGGTGAGGTCATGCCTCACTAACTTGATCGAATTTTTTTGAGGAGGTGATGAAGATGATTGAGAGAAAAGTGGTTGATGTTGTCCACGTGGACTTCAGTAAAGCCTTTGACAAGGTCTTTCATGGCAGACTGGTACAAAAAGTGAAGTCACATGGTATTGGGGTGAGCTGGCAAGATGGATACAGAACTGGTTTTGGTATAGGAGACAGAGGGTGGTGGTGGAAGGATGCTTTTCAGAATAGAGGGCTGTCACTTGTGGTGTTCCACAGAAATCAGTGTTGGGACTGCTGCTGTTCATGGTCTACATAAATGGTTTTGAGGGAAATGTCGCTGGTCTAATGGAGTTTGCGGACAATACAAAGATGAGTGGAGTTGCAGATAGTGAGGAAGATTGTCAGAGGATACAGCAGGATATAGATCAGTTGGAGGCATGGGCAGAAAAATGGCAGCTAGAGTTTAATCCGGACAAATGACTGATGCATTTTGGAAGATCGAATACAGGTGGAAATTATACAGTGAATAGCAGGACCCTTAGGAGTGTTGATATGCAGAGGGATCTGGGTGTGTAAGTCCACAGATCACTGAAGGTGGCAGTGCAGGTAGATAAGGTAGTAAAGAAGACCTATGGCAATACTAGCCTTCATTGGCAGGGGTACTGAATATAAGGATAGACAAGTTATGCTGCAGCTTTATAGGAATTTAGTGAGGCCATACTTGAGATATTGCACACAGTTCTGGTCGCCACATTACCAGAAGGATGTGGATGCTTTGGAGATGGTACAGAAAAGGTTTACCAGGATGTTGCCTGGTATGGGGGGGTGGAATTTCAGCTATGAAGTAAGGTTAGATAGATTGGGTCTGTTTTAACTGGAACGCTGGAGGTTGAGTGGTGACCTATTAGAAGTTTATAAGATTATGAATGACATGGTTCGAGTGGAAAGTATGAGGCTTTTTCTCAGGGTAGAGGGGTCAATTACTAGGGGACACACATTGAAGGTGCGAAGGGGAAGTTTAAAAGAGATGTGCGGGGCAAGATTTTCATACAAAGGGTGGTGAGTGCCTGGAACATACTGCTAGACGTGGTGGTGGAAGCAGACACAATAGCAGCATTTACAAAAGTACATGAATAGAAAGGGAACAGAGGACTACGGATCCTGTAAGTGAACACAGTTTTAGTAATGGAAGGGCAAAATGTGGCGGCGCAGGCTTGGAGGGTCAATGGGCCTGTTCCTATGCTGTATGGTTCTTTGTTCTTCTGGTATCTTTGAATAATAAAGAGTATGATGCTTATTGAGCTTGGATCAATTCTGGAGGGGTGGGGGGGAGGAAATGGACTTTTACAACAAATAAGAGTTCCATTATAGAAATTGTTAATATTGTTTCTGAAATGCTAAGTATGTATATCAGTATGAAAAAAGATCTGTGTCATTACTTAAGTCAATAATGCACAAGGAGATACAGCACAGTACAAAAGTTAGCACTCATTCAAAAATATTAAATCAATCTTCATGTGATGGTACGTAGATGTTTAAATAGAATGCTCGAATGCTTTCCTTATGATATAAACAGAAATATGTAAAAGATTCAGACAAATGCCAAAAGGGTAAGCAAATGGATAATAAACTACAGTTAGCGTCCCACCTTCTAATTTTGCTGGTATGCCTTGTGGGGATTGAGGTGGTGATAACGCAGAACCATCATCTGATGTTAGTTCCTGTTCAGTATCTGTAGAAAAGGAGTTAGTTTTTCTATTCAAATGATGTTAAAATACCACATGCAGTGCAAGATATCATCATGCTTTTTTTTACTACAAACTAAAATGTATATTCTTTACAAAGACAAAGCACAAAGCCAACAACAGCAATTTATCATGGTAAGGTTAATTCTGCTAATTCGCTTTGTGGAATATGAAATGCTGGAGTTCATGAAAAACACCTGAAAGCAACTTTCTTTTCATAAATGAACTACATAAAACTGAGCAGAATAACGAATTGATCAAAAAGTAAGCAGGTTACAATATCCAGCAAACAAATTTGAATAAGCTCCATCTGTTTCTTTAACTCAATCATTTGGATGCAAGATATGACAAAGATCAACACAAAATTAATTTTAAATATTCTTAAGCCCTGATCAGCGTTGCCGTGATTTTTCTTTTTTGCTCCATAGACCTCAGAGGTCCATTTGTGATAGTGACTTCCAGAACCAGAAAATCAATACTGCAAATGGTACCAGCATGGTGATGGGTGTGCCAAACCCTCTCAGCAGTTGTGTGCATGCACAGCTCAGAGGGAATGTTGGTCTTGATGCTAGTGACTCATGCCAAATATTGTTTCAGGAGCTAAGAGCCTTCTATTATACTGCTCAAATGTTCAAGCTTCACAAGTCAGCCTAAACAGTGAAACAAGCTGCTGAGCAATGAGGGGAAGAGAAAAAAAAAGAGAATTGGGCATGCACAACAACCTAACTCTGGTTTATCTGTTCAACATGGATGTGGCTAGCAACTGGAAATATTTTATTGTGACTATTTTATCCTTTTCTCTTGACAAGATTTGCACAAAGCAATTGTTGTATTTCTCTTGCTGCTCCAGCTTAGAATAGGCAATTCACTAAAGATCAAGAACCTGGGCCATAAAAATCTGTTTATTTTTGACATTGCTTGGCTTTTAGCTTCTAGGATCGGTTGAAACATGGTTCAGGGCAGTTGGTACAACTGTCTATACCACAGGATATCCAAGTTCAAAAACAGAAGTTGCTGGAAAAGCTCAGCAGGTCTAGCAGCATATGTGAAGAAAAATTCAGAGTTAACGTTTTGAGTCCAGTGACCCTTCCTCAGGGCAGTGAGTTCTGATTTACAGCATCTGCAGTTCTTTTGGTTTTTATTTAGGATATCCAAGTTGTTTTATTGCCTGTTAGAAAAAAGTAAAGGTAAAGATCTGAAACCCAAAGTAAAATGAAGGGAGCAAGGAAAACAAATTTTCAGTACTGGGACAATAAAAGGGAACAGAATAGATCAATGAATTTTTACAATGAAACAAATATGCATTTTAAAGGTGGGAACATGTATCCCCCTAAAGAAAACTGGTCTAAAACTGATCTATTTTCATCATTTCTCAAATCTCACAATTATAATCTTTAAAAAAATACAACCCTTCCCGTCCAATAGCCAAGAAACTGCAAACAGTGTCATGAAAGGTTTTAAGTTGATGCATTTTGATCAAATATATCATTTTTCAAACACATTCTAATACCTTGTAGCAGGGACATAGCTCCTTCAACCCAAAAATTAATTTTAACATTTTCACTGCAGGCAAGGTGATATCACTCCTCTTTAAAGAGAGAGCAAGGCAAGAGCTTATCTGAAGTGACCTTATCCACGTTGAAAAACCAGTTCTAGAACAACCCTTGTACAAGCCTCTGGGAGCTTAATTTCAACTGAAGAACTATGTAGGTAAACCTGAAAAATTAGAAAATACTACACCGGCTTCTAATCACAGGCTGTCTAAAAATGTAAATCTCAATCTTAAACAATGGGTTGTGTGTGTGAGCCAATAATACCACTTAGTAACTTCAAATATCATGAACAAAGCATCAACAGCTTCAACACTTTAACTAAGAAGAATACAGCTATTGTGGATATGGATGATATTTCATATGTTAGGGTCCAACTGAAATTCTAAAAAAACCCACAAAAACAAATAGCTATTAAGATTAAAAGTTCACATGTAGCATTTAGCTTTAACCACAAGAGGTCATTATTTTCAATTTATTAGAATACAACTTATTTCCTTCTCCGTAATACAATAGTGATTTATAATTTTCTGCATATTTAATCAATTTTTTCCTATCTTAAACAATTTATTTTACCATCCAATCCTTGTTGCTTCCGTTCAATTATCCTTTTGTATTCCTCCAATTCACACTCATTCAGGTAACTGAATGGGTTTGGCGGTCCTGGTGGTAACTGATCTTCCAGTTCTTTAATTTCCAGCTGCACAGGATGGGAGGTAAATATATTTACAAAATTTTAGGTTTGAGCAGCAGAGAATTTTGACTTCATCACAATATCCTCAAAATTCACAGCATCTCCTACAGCTTGATTTTAACTTTGTAGTAAATGACTAATGATAGTAAATTGTCTCCTGCATAATGATACAATCAGTTCCTTTCACAGTAAGGGCAATGTAGAAGTATGACTTTAACTGAACTAATTAATATCATCAAAATCACCTAAGGACATCTCAACATTAATGACTATAGCATTAAACTAACTGTCTAGTCTTTCCTCATTAAGGAAATTCTCACTCTAGGTATTAGTAAACTGTCTCTGAACTGATTCTAATGCATTGACATCCTTCTGTAAGTACGATGACCACTACAGTACTTTGTACATGGTCTCACCAATACCCTCTATAACTGAAGCATAACCTTTATACTCTTGCATTCAATTCCCCTCACAATAAACTATCACATTCTATTAGCTTTTCTGCCTACTTGCTGTATCTGCATATTAACCCGCAATTCATGCATGAGAACATAAAGATCTCTTTGCATTGCTGCTCTGCAACCTCAACCTCAACATGTCACTTTTCCATCAAAATTTTAAGAATATGCTCCTGTCTCCAAATCCAAATCATCATATTAACAACAAATGGAGACAACAATGACTTTTAGGGGTAACAACATTTCAGCCAGTTCTACAAAAATCTATCAAATCTTTTGAACAAGGTTTGTCTTTAACAAGTTCCTGCTGTCTACCTTTGACTAATGCCCAAATTTATAAATACTGAATAGTTTCACTTGATTCTATTAGAAATGTATGTCACTCTCAAACATTTTCAATGGTTTTTCTTCCTTTCTTTATAAAAATATTCTTCAAAAAAAAAGAAATAGCCTAGCACAGCACACTCTAGTCATCTCAATCATTTGAAAGTAAACATGCTTCTTTGACACTGATCAGTCTTTAAAATAATTGGCATTGCTGCTGCCATCAAAAAAATCCAGTTAATGTTCCACTTTTTGGTAGTTATTAGTGGTTCAATCTTAAATATTAATGTTTTAAATGATGGGAACTGTAACTATTTGTAAAAACATAAACCACTCAATGAAAGAAAAAAATACAGAATTAAATATTTTATACAACTGTTACCGGGGCACTTTTCTTCTCTACAACAATACCAGCCAGCAATTGGGACTGTGGCCCAGCAGTCTTCATGTCATATCGATTCTGCTCACGAATCTGTAACAAAAATAATTTGTTGGTCCTTAGTTCAGACATGTATATAGTTGTGTATAGTAGGAGACATGACACTACTGTAAATATAAAACAGCTTTGACCTAATCAAAGAGCTTTGTGCAATTCTTTTGCCTTCAATTAAAACCATCTGGCTCCAGGCAGGTTGGTTAGAAGACATTATCCTGAAAAGTTCAAAGGCTTTTGGAAGAACTTTTCACCTTGAATACATGAAACTGAGGAAACAGCAAACTGTTCACATTATACAAATACGACAATGCCAAATTCTCTACAAATGGAATCAAATATGAAGAACATTATTTAAAAATGCAAATTAAAGAGAATTTTAAAAATACTGCATGGGAAAGTAACCATTTTAACATACTTCCTATCCTCTCAATTTGTGCTTTTTATGTAGGTATGCCACTTGATTGATTTCCAGGCAGTGTGCTTTTTGTCACCCCACTTTGCTTCACTGGACCATGCCATCCAAAACGCAGGTTTCCATACAGGTAACTTTGGAAGCAGTAAAAGTACTTTAATTGAAAGTAGCTTCACTTAACGGTTCTTCAGTTATGTTTACGAAAATATTTGAACATTGTTCAGATGAATTTAACAAAATAAAATAGTCAATGTACCACTTGGTGACAATGCACAATTTGGTGATAATGCACATAAATGAATTCAACATATTTCTTATTTCAACAATTGAAATATATATTTTCCACTTGGACCACTGAACAACAGATTAATGTTTTAAGACAGTGCTCTTGTGGTACAGTGGTAGTGTCCCTCCTCTGAGCTAAAAGATTTGGGTTCAAGATCTGTTCCAAAGATGGGTTGTAACATGTCTGAACAAATTGATTAAAAAGAGATTAATGTTTTAAGAGAATACAAAACAAAATATAAAAGGTTTCACATATGAAACCAGATACTGCCACAAGGTTTACCTTGTTTCTTCTGTCATGGACCTCCCGGGGATCTGTATTTAATGGAACAAACTGATTAGGATCTTCTATCTTGATTGGTGTTCCACTACTTTGTTTTGACGTATTGTCTGTCTTTTTCCACTGGAGCAAAAAAAAGGTTAAAATATCTACATAATTCTTAGAAAAATAATAGCCCACATTTTGCAGTCAAAGTAATGCAAGTCTGGCAGCACTCCAATAATTAAACGAAGTAGGACTGTTTTCCACATTTGCTGTTTTATTGATTGTAATGAGCTCAGCCAGGTGGACCTCTTAGAATGAGTTCCCTGATTGAGGCTGTTAATCTGGTCCAATCAGGGAGTCCTGACAGACAGATAAGAACCGGAGTGTCAGACATCCTGTTCATTCACAGCTTGCTCTGAGGAAGCTGGGTCAGTGTCAAGGACTCTCGACGTGTAAATAAAGGATGTTTTGGTGATGGGTTACCAGCCTCCATGGAGTTACTTCAGCTATGAAATAGAGAAATTAGGAAATTTCTGTCTGAGATGTTCTTCTCTTCTAAAAGCTGCACTACCGGTGTCTCACTAAGAAACTGTTATCCATTCAAATACATTAAATAGCATAAACTTGTTTCACCCACAATAAAATTCACCAGACAAAGGTCTGGTGCATTTCACGCTAAGCCTTTAATAATGTGGTAGATCTTCACTGTCACACAGATTCTATGAGATACGAATGTTAATTTTCAGTGCGAGAATAAGTGTGAAGTATTCTTTCTTCACATTTTAATTATTGTACGTTAAAAAGTAAATTGTTTTTTAAAAAAGAATTATTTTATCCTCCCACCTCCCCCCCCTCAATCTAGCCTTTCATTGCCTCAATTTCTCTTTCTGTATCTGATTGGTCACTGAACCAGGAAGCCTATGGGCATTTGCAACAAACAAAACTAACTCCCAATGTATCGGGGGCCAAGCTATTTTGGTGAACCTTAATAGTCTTAATGGGTACTTGGGAACCTAAATATTTTGTCCATTGGCTATCCAGCAACACTGAAGGGTATCTTGTGTTGTTATCAATCCTTCGCGTTATAGTGTGCTAAGCTCGATCAAAAGATTAAGAGGGCTCTTAACATTACAAGAAGGAACAAGACTGACTCTTGGTAATAATATTCAGGAAAGTTGGTGGTGGGGGCTAGCTAATGAAATTAATCAGTGGTGCACAAGTGGAATAGAATGAAATATGGTGGCAATGGAGGATTTGGGATACTCAACACTGACAGGACATTACAAAAGATTGTGGGGAACATATGGTCATCAGATTTAAGGGAAATATGGGAAGAGGACTTAGAGCTAAAAGACAGGTTCATGAGGAGGGACAAGTAAGTATTTGCAAGCTAATGATACGGAACAAATCAACGGCACTATTTTTCTTAATTAGCATTTAGAATTTTCTGTGTGGTGTAATCCAACAGCACGTACATTGCACACAGTCAGTGGAGGTAGGTATGCAGGCATGCGAGTACAATTTCAGTTCCTACATACAATGTACTAACTTAGACAGATTCTTCATCAGCTAGGATTTCAAGGATTATGTGGAAACATCAGAAAAGTGGAGATGAGGATTATCAGATCTTGCGCTCCAGAATTTGCCACTCCCCTAGCCAAGCTTTTCTAGTACAGTTACAACACTGGTATCTACCAGTCAATGTGGAAAATTGCCCAGGTATGTCCTGTACACCAGAAAAAGGACTAATCCAATCTGGTCAGTTGCCACCCCATCAGTCTGCTCTCAATCATCAGTAAAGTGATGGAATGTGTCATCAACAGTGCTAATAGATAGCAACTGCTCAGTGACACCCAGTTTGGGTTCCACCAGGGCCATTCAGCTCCTGACCTCATTACAGCCTTGGTTCAAACATGGACAAAAGAGCTGAATTCCAGAGGTGAGGAGAATATGACAGCCCATGACATCAAAACTGCATTTGACGGTGTGTGGCATCAAGAAGCACAAGCAAAACCGAAATCCATGTGTAACAGAAGGTAAACTTTCTGCTGATTGGGGTCATACCTGGCACATAGGAGGATGGTTGTGGTTGTTGGAGGCTAATAATCGCAGCTCCAGGACATCTCTGCAGGAGATCCTCAGGGTAGTGTCCTAGGCCCAATCACCTTCAGCTGCTTCATCAATGACCTTCCCTCCACCATAAGGTCAGGTGTGGGGATGTTTGCCAATGATTGCACTGTGTTCAGCGCCATTTGCAACTCCTCACATACTGAAGCAGTCCATGTTCAAATGCAACAAGATCTGGACAATATCCAGGCTTAGGCTGACAAGTAGCAAGCAACATTCACATTACACAAATGCCAGTCAATGACCATCTCCAATAAAGGCAATCTACCACCGCCCCTTGACATTCAATGGCATTACCATCACTGAATCCCCCACTATCAATATTCTTGGGGTTATTGTTGACCAGAAACTCAACTGGATTCGCCACATAAACACGGTGACTACAAGACCAGGACAGAGGCTAAGAATACTGCACCAAGTAATTCACCTCCTGACCCTTGACAATCATCCACAAGGCACAAGTGAGGAGTGTGGTGGAATATTCCCCACTTGCCTGGATGGGTGCAGCTCCAACAACTCTGAAGAAGCTTGACACCATCAAGGACACAGCAGTCTGCTTGATTAGCATTACATCTACAAGCATCCACTCCCACTGTCTCCAAGAGGCACCGCATGGATTCACCAAATATCCTTAGACAGCATGTTCCAAATCCACAAATACTTCCATCCAGAAGGACAAGGGCAGCGGATACATGGCAACACCACAAACTGCAAGTTCCTCATCAATCCACTCACCGTCCAGACTTGGAAATATAATACCATCCCTTCACCATTGCTGGGTCAAAATGCTAGAATTCTCTCCTTAAGGGCATTGTGGGTATACCTACAGCACATGGACAACAATAACTGACTGATTTATTGTCATGTGAACCGAAATATAGTGAAAAGCTTGGTTTATGAGCTGTACAGGCAGTTCATTGTAGGCAAAGGATGTACAGATCAAAAAGACTTGGAGGCATACAGGTTACATTGCACAGGGCGTGCACTAGGCGAGATCAACGTTAGCAGGATCAGGTTTATCTGAGGCTAGACAGTCCATTCATCAGCCTAATAACGGCCGGGAAGAGTGTGTTCCTAAACCTCTCATGTGCGTGTGCAGGCTTCTGTATGTTCTGCTTGACCGAAGAGGTTGTAGGAGATCATTACCAGGGTGCGATGGATCTTTGATGTTGGCAGCCTTTCTGCGGCTGTGTAAATGGAGTCTCTGGTCGGAAGGTTGGCTTCCGTGATGGTCTGGGGCTGTGCACACCACCTTCTATAGTTTCTTACGGTCCTGGGCATAGCAGTTGCCATACCAGGCTGTTATGCACCTGGACAGTATGCTTTCAATGGTGCATCTGTAGAAGTTGGTGAGGGACCTTAAGGACATGGCAAATTTCCTGAGCTGCCTGAGGAAGAGGAGGCATTGTTGCGCCTTCTTGACTGTCACATATACGTGGGAAGTCCAGGACAGGTTGTTGGTTATTGTCACTCTGAGGAACCTGATGCTCTTCACCCACTCAATCTCAGTTCCGTTGATGTAGGTGGGGGCATATTCAAGAAGGCAGCACACCACTACCTTAAGGGCAACTAGAGACAGGCAATAAATTCTGGCCAGCCAGCAACGCCTACATTCCATGTGTAAGAAAATGATCATGATCTCAAATGAATGGCAGAGCAGATGGGCTGAATGAACTATGTTTTAAAGTCTCATATCACAGAAAATAGGATAGCTGCAGCCGGAAATCATTATTATGTTAGGAAGAAAAGTTTATACATCTGGAACTAGGTCTTAGCCAACAGTCAATTGAATTGCTATGAGTAATGAATTTTGTTTGTACTTAGTCAACCTACGCTGTCCAGTCTGCTGTCTGAAATGATGTATTCTGGCACTGGAGACACTGGAAAGCACTGCTGGTGGAAGCTTTGGGGAATTACATAACATGTTGACC